TTGAGAAGCAGGGAGCAAACCGCTGGAAAGAAGACGAGAGGATTTGACGAAAGGGACTAGAACTTGAGAAACAAACATCAAACCGCTCGAAAAGGACTACAGTATTTGAGAAACAGGAGCAAGCCGCGAGGTCAGGTCGTGAGGCCGGGAGGCCGCGATGTCGTGAGGCTGCGAGGAGGCTGCGAGGAGGCTGCGAGGTTGGGCCGCGAGGTTACCCAATCCCGTAATCCCATTCTCAGGTCTGATCTCTCTCTCTCTCACTCTCTCTCTCTCTCTCATACCTATATATATATATACATACATACACACACACACACACACAACAATACAAATGTATACTGATATGTACCTGTCTGTTTATTTGTTTGTAATAAGAAGACAAGTGCAGCATTTCAGTTTCCGAACGTACGGGACGTTATAACGACGGTTCTTGACACAAGGACATCCCAGAGTAAGGAACAGTTGGTACAATGGCGAACATGCAAAAGTTTCAGGTCCAGGGACCGCAGCCAGGAGTGCATCACCCAGACGAGCGACTCATACTCGCGCACATGTGCGTTCCCACTGGCATACATCTCTGAACCTGCCGGGCCTAGGGTTTCAGGAGGTTCTAATCGCAGTTGGAGATCAACATGAATAGTTTTCTAAATTAGTGTCCCTTTTAGGTCCCAAATATAATACATAATACAGCCGCCTTATAAAAAGGACCTTGAAAACGACCCTAATTTACGTGAAAGGGACCCTGATTTAGAGCACTACCCACATGACAAGAAACTGCCACGGTATATGTATAGGTTACGCGACAGAAACTTCCCTCATCAGGCAGACAACCACTCGGAGCACCAGCATGGCGACGACAGGCAGCCTGGCGGCTTATCTCAGCACGGCACAACACCACAGTAGTAGTAGTAGTAGTAGTAGTAGTAGTAGTAGTAGTAGTAGTAGAAGTAGTAGAAGTAGTAGAAGAAGAAGCAGTAGTAGTAGNNTAGTAGTAGTTAGTAGTAGTCAGTAGTCGTAGTAGCAGTAGTAGTAGTAGTAGTAGTAGTAGTAGTAGTAGTAGTAGTAGAATGAGGAACTGAGCAAGCCCCATGAGCATTCGAGAACCATTCCAAACAGATTCCGCCAGGCACGGTTTCGACTAGTACCGCATCTACCGGTTCAGAGTGCTGCTACCCGGACTGTGCCAATTCTGAGAGGGTTTGCAACACACAGAAGCAGAGTCCGTTCTGCACCAGCTCTGCTGCGAACTGCCGATCATGCGGTGGGGAGCTTTGCACGGGTGCTGGGGGTTCTCCAACTACGACCCCAACAGTGCCGACGACAATCTCGTCGACGATCGCAGCCACGACGACCATCGAAGGCTCAACGACCAAGAAGGGGCATTGTTGAAGTTTTGGCACAAAATCAAGTCGCACTACGTAGCCTCACTAGACATGACTGGAACTATGTCAGTCGTGTGCCAGCGCTTGCTGAGTTGGAAGCAACTGGCCCGCTCATCTGAAATCATTCATAGTACCCTGCTTCCACGAAGGCACTACGTCTACCGGACCCGCTCCAGGCGATTCTGAGTGCTGCTATCCGGACTGTGCCAATTCTCAGAGGGTTTGCAACACAAAGGAGCAGAGTCCTTTCTGCACCAGCTCTGCTGCGAACTGCCGATCATGCGGTGGCGAGCTTTGCACGGGTGGTGGGGGTTCTCCAGCTCCGACCCCAACCGTTCCGACGACGTTCTCCTCGACGATCGCAGCCACGACGACCGGCGAAGGCTCGACGGCCAAGAGGGGCATTCGTGACATTCGGACACACAGTGAATATCCAAAGGACAAGAGTGCTGGGTAAGAACTGGCCGTAGCTGTTCTAGCAGAGGAGACAAGTTCGCCTGGACAAGATTCTTCTGTTTCCCCTTCGTGAGTGTTCGAAGGTTGCCAGTTGTTTTGACACGTGCATGGCAGGGAAACTCAAATGTCAGCATCTTTGAGTAGTGGACCATGCACACTCAATGTGTCGAGCAACGACATCAAGAGAAAGCCTTACAGAGTTGACTCCAATCTGCTGTGGTTCGGCTAACTCTTGCCAGCGAGACAGGAACATGCTTTCCTCCCTCGAATGTAGCTTCGGTGTCCTTATTTCCGTCCGCGTCGTCACATGACTGGAACTATGACAGTCGTGTGCCAGGGCTTGCTGAGTTGGAAGCAACTGCCCCACTCACTTGAAATCATTGACAGTGCCCTGCATCCATGGAGGCACAACGTCTGCTGGACCCGCTCCAGGCGATTCGGAGTGTTGCTATCCGGACTGCGCCGATTCTCAGAGGGTTTGCAACACACAGGAGCAGAGTCCTTTCTGCACCAGCTCTGCTGCGAACTGCCGATCATGTGGTGGGGAGCTTTGCACGTCCGGCCGACGAGACATCTTGCCATAGTGTCGTGTTGGCCAGCGGTTATGCCTACACGGGGTTGGGGTTTGGGGCGTAGTTTACTCTAGCCCCGCAAGCCGAAGGATCTTAAACCAGGCGAAATACCAAAATCAGTCTTAACAAAATCTCGATCCTTGCCTGTTTGAAGTTTCCTTAGTGCCAGTGTCCTTTCCCTCAGGGTCCAAAGTAGCCGATTTTTTGTTTTGGACGTGGAGATCCACAAACCTACTGCTGTTTTGTTGAGGAGCTGGGGATCATCAGTCATGATAATAGCCTACTATTGTGGGGCTTCGGAACTAAACCCCTCAACTCCGCAAACCCCGCAAACTGTAGGTTCGGATCTCTTTGTTTCTTAGAAGCCCTCACCCAAAAAGGCACTAGGTTGTTTCGGACGTAGGTACTTGGATTCTAAGCCCTAAACCCTGAACCCTAAACCCCTAAACCCCTAAACCCGAAACCCCTGATCCCCTAAACCCCTAACCCCGAAACCCCTAAACCCCTAAACCCTAAATCCTAAGCCCCCTAAACCCTTCACCCTAAAACCCTAAACCCCTCTAACTGTCAGGCACTTGGACCCTTAGGGGATGTTTTTGGCCAGCTGCAGCTCGAATGAGCTCGGACTGCACATGGCTTTCTCGGTTGAGCCCCCGTCGTAAACCCAAGGCTCAAAAGAGCCTTAGAAAGTATTACCTAAACCTCCAAAAGTAGGTAAAATAATGGCCCGAACCTCATAAAGGGCTATTGTTTTACATACTTTTGGGGTCCAAGTACTCCTTACTATGGGTCTTTAGGGCCTTTTGAATTACCTAAAACCATGTATAAAGACTATTTGAACCCTTAGGAAAAAGAGCCTTGCAAAGTATTAAGGGTTTAGGGTTCAGTATTTAGGGTTTAGGGTTTAGGGGTTTGCAGGGTTTAGGGTTTAGGGTATGGCCCAACAGCCTCGAAGTATGAGTCCTTGGGGCCTTTGGGAAACCGATGGTTAGATTTTCACTTGCAAGGCTCTTGGACGTGGACCCGGACTGCTCCGTACACCCCGAAGCCTTAAACCCCTACTACAGACCCTGGTGCCCTGAGGCTCCGAATTCCTAAAGCTTCAACCTTCGACACTAAACTGCTAAACCCTGCTTTGAACTACCTCTAACCGTTAACTCAGAGGCTAAGGATAGGTTTTGACAGGGGCTCCTGAAAAGACCAGAGATCAAGGAACGGGCTCGACCTTTCCTCGCGGGGTAAGTCGCGGGAGAGGACGTGGCGTCCTTTGTACCGTCGCTCTGGTTATGTTTTGGGGCTTGGGGAGTTTCGTGGTGAGGGCGGCACCTTTGACTCAGCCTTCGAAAACCACGACGCCTAAGCCCGAAGCCGTTACTTGGAGGCCCAGGGGACTTAGTAAGTAGGTTATAAGTAGAGTTAAAGTACCCTAAATGGAGTTATCCCAATTATACAGCCACTTATAACCGACTTACTAAGTCCCCTGAGCCGTTAAAGACTAGGGATGTACAGCGGGGCGGATCTGCGCTGCGGTGGCGGCCCGCAGTCATGTAGAGCAGCTCGGGCTTTCAAACCTCTTCGCAGATCGGCTTGAATCGATCAAGCACGCTTCCGGAAGAAAGTGAGGTTTAGGGTTTAGAAGTGTGTGCATAAAGGAATCGAGGGTTGAGTTTGAGGTGCAGGGTTCTGGGGTGGTGCTGGATTTTGCCACCATAAGTGGGCCATTGTCCTTACTTGGGCCACTGGGAGCGACAGTAACTAAGTAATATACGGGCCTTAATCGCTACCAATACTGTTTTGGGGGCTCCTTGTTATAATAGTTATAGTATAATATACCCCCAAAACCCTATTCTTACTATTATGGCCCCTATATTCTAGAACCCTTATAGTAGCCCTTATAAGGAACCCTTTAAAGGAACCCTTTAAAGGAACTCTAGTTATTAAGGCCCCTACAATCGGCAGCCTGCCTTTTAGCACGTTGTTGACGGCATACTTAATGGAGTCGCCTACCCATCCTGTCGCATGCTTAGGTTTCGGGTCCGCTGCATCCAAGCTCTGAAGCGCCTGAGCCACCCATGCTAAAGTAGGGGCCTTAAGAATTAGAAGTGTGTTTGGGGGGGCCGCTATGCTATAAATATGCCTTAGTAATTAGAATAGGGTTTGGGGGGCCCACTATTCCATAATTCTATTAAAGAAGCGCCAAAATAGTATTGGTAGTTATTTAGGCTTCTACATTACTGCTACTGCATGTAGCTGCTGCTGCTGCTGCTGCTGCTGCTGCTGCTGCTGCTGCTGCTGCTGCTGCTGCTGCTGCTACTTTTAACGACGACGACGTGTCGTACTACTGCTTCTAGTGCTGCTGCTACCGCCACGACTATAAGTGGGTCGTCGTGGTATTGATTGTAGTAGTCGTCGTCGTCGCACAGCCAACCCGGTGCGAATCCCAAAGCCCACTACTGCAAACTCGACAAAGCGGTACCCCTAAACCCTATAAACCAGAAAATCCTAAACCCTAAAGAAAGCCCTAAACCCTCAACCCTCAACCCAGTCTAAAGACCACGATGGAAGCTCCCCAATTTAGCAATGTCAGCAGGCACGGGAGCACGTCTTTGGTCCGGCGGCCTGCTCCTTGCGGACGCCGCCTTAGGGATCCGAAGCATCTTCAGCGCCTTCTCGGGTTTATTGTTTGGAGTTAAACTTGCGGCTTCTGTAGATAGATTGCTTCGGGATCTAGGATGTCGGCAGTTATAGGATCTGGGCTCTAGGATTTAAACCATGTGCAGGTTCTGGGATTCAGATCTTCAGCACGTGGAGCTTGGCTTCTGCCTCAGAGCCACGGAATTCGGCCGAATCCTAAGTCGTTGCCCCTGGGTCGAAATCGGTCACGATACCCCCGAAGCAACTAAGCTCCGTGATTATAGACTATAGACCCACCTCTACCTCGCACTCCGAAAGTCAAGCCTGAAGTATGACCAAGACCAAAAAGGCCTCAAGGCGGCGACTTTAGAAATTCGATAAATCCGACATCATCCAACCCCGCGCCCCTAAATCCGCAATCCTAAACTAAACCCCTCGACTGAGCGGAGCCTCTCTCTGAAAAGGAGTACCTGGTCCGAAGTGCCGAGGAGAAGGCCATTGACTTGGTGAGTTGCAGCCTTCTGACAGGAGTACTACAGCGGCCTGAATTTTTGCCTGTACAATTTTGGGGTTCCTTATTATAAGTATAGTACAATATACCCCCCCCTCCAAAAAAAAAACTTTGTTCTAACTGTTAAGGCCCCTATATNNCCCCCCCCCCCCCCCAAAGGCCTGTTTTCATGCTTCTGCAGGCTTCAAAAGCATGAGCCTCTTGCTTGTCGGCTTCAGCTTTGGCTTACGATCCATGGCGTTGTGATTCGGGGACTGTTGGGACCTCCCGGAGCCACGCATCTCTGGAGTCTTTTGTTTCGGTGCCCAAATCCTTGAGAAGAAAAACACATCCCTAACCATCTCAGTTCTAAAGCACTACGTTGAGGGTTTTTGGGCTTTACCCCGAACCCTATACCCGGAAAGCTAACCGAGCTAACTCTGAACCCCAAACCCTCAAGTCAAACTCTGCAGCCCCCCGGAGCAAGCCGAGAAGCCGGAAAATGCAGCCCTAAACCCTTGGGATGAAGCCCCTACCCTCTCTCTCCTTGCGCACAAGAATCAAGCCGCCCAAACCAAGGAGGCCCCACATCCGGCACGCCTCCCAGAGCCTCCGAAATCCCTTAGCCTTATAGTTATTGAGCAGGGCTAAATTCACACAAAGAGCGTATATTGCTTGCATGTGCGTAGTTTTTTAGTTCGCCCTGGAGCCTCTCAATAAAATCCTATTCAAAGCTCCTCTAACTCGTGCTGAGCTCCTTACTTAAACTGCTTTTTTGGGGTCTACTGTTCTACTCCGAAATCCCAGCATCGCCCAAGTTCAAGAGGCAGAGCTGCTCTTCGACAAAGAGGTCCGGTCTGTCTTGTGTAACTGTGGTCACGGCTTCAGGTTTCAGGGTTTGTGGCATTAAGATGTATTATCTTCCATGGCTTTCGGCTTCAGAGCAAAGGCTATTCCCAGACCGTTTCCT